TCTCAGAGACGTCTGTAGGCCCTGTACTGCACCAGACGATCCTTGAACGACTTCTTCATTGTTCGGAGGCCCCGGGAAATCGGCAAGCACCAGTCCCATGTATGTCAACGTATCTCCAGTAAAGAGTCCCATGGCCAGAAATCAACACACAGCCTTGTCCCGTCAGAGGCACACATCCCTCGCCCGTCGTCAGGTTTGGGGGAGCCCTGTGCTTTTGGTGCCACTCTCCCATGTGTCGGGCCCCTAGCATGACCAAGCGGACCAAGCCCCTCTTGCTCAAGTCTCAAATGCCAAGCCCGAAACCTAAATCCTGATTTCGACATCTTAAACCCGAAACCTTGAATGCCTGTCGTATAGCCGAAACCTCAGCAGAGGAAAAGGTAGGCGGAGGTCGAAGCGATGTATGTCAAGGGGCTAAGCTTTAGCATGTCTCTTCTGATTCACCTTACACCACTGTTTTTTCGCACAGGCTTGTTACTCACTTTAAGTGCTGGGGCCCCTATGTTGCGACCTCAGATTTAGGCTTAGCAATGCCTCGGGTTCAGCAGCTCGGTGTTCAGGCTTCTGGGTTTCAGGATCAGGGGTTAGGCGTGCTAGGGTAACTCTGAAATTCCCACCTGTTAAGGCCAACGCAGCCAAACTGTCCACCGGACAAGCTTGCACCATCGGCCAGAACGAATGCAAAGCGCCCCCAGCCTTGGCGACCTCCCAGAACCCGACTAAAACTCAAGCAGAAGCATCAGCAAGACCCGAAAGGCCCCAAAGTGACGGCCTGCTTACGACCCCACGGCTTGGAATTTAGAGCTGGGGCTTATGGACCCCGTAACATCTTCAGCGCTTTACAGGCATACCTGACTCATGAACCTGACCGGTCCACTCGATTTGTTGGATGCGGAAGCAAGCAACCCAAGCACCTTTTAGAGTCAAGCCCCATTCCTTCTAGGACTCCGAGCGCGCAGGACCACAGAGACAGCTTACTTGGAGCTTAAAAGCCAAGCCCTAAAAATTCCCTAGAGCTCGAAAGCCCTGGGCACTGGTGCCTACATCCAATTGAGTAAAGCCTAAACAGAAGCCCTAAACCTTGACACCTCAATCCGAAGCGGAAGGAAGGGTGGAGTCCTTGGCGATGCCCAGCTACTTGGAGATGCTGCCGCTACCGTCGCCGGGTGCCCAAAGAATTCCTGCACGCAGGAAATTCACAAGGCCAAGTCAATCTAAGCCGGTTGGTCAATCCCCACGCCCCCTAAACAGGGTAGTGCTCCCTTGGGCTCCTAGGCACTCTGGGCATGGGTGCGGAGTCTATAAGCTAGGGTGTGCGTTTTTCAAGGGTAGGGGTTTGAGTGGCAGAACCTTGAAGCCCTAGATTTGGGTTAAAGACATTGTGTTCAAGACTGTTTCAGGGGATTCGATTTCTCCACTGATATGCCCGAGCACGGGTACTTGGAAGGCCCGAGGGATCAACATCCACGATTGATTTCGACCCAATGCCTGAAGCTGGCCAAGCTTGAACCCCCAACAGAGCCTTGGGCTGTGGTTTGGTTGAGGCCGTGGCACTTTCGGTGGACACGGATCCCGACACGATCCTGGAAGCTGCCGAAGTCGGAAGCCAAGGAATCGGTCCACGTGGATGCTGACCTGTTTGTTCCTGTCTATGATCTATGCATCTGTGTATCATGTATCCGCCTGTCTTTCTGTCTGTCTGTTTATCCGCCAAAGAGAAAGAACACAAAGCATTCACTAGAGTGTAGGAGTTGGGATGAATGTCAGAGAGTCTGGATGTGTGCTTTTTGTGCCACGACATCCACAGGGCCCTCACCCCGCCAACCCATGGCAAGCATCGAGACTGTCCCTTGCGGACATTGCGGACAGCGCAAACTTGTGCCCAACAATTTTTAAACATTACAAACTAGCCCCAGGCCCCAAACCCCAAATGCTGCCGCCTGGATCCTAAGTTCCGAACCGCCGTAGCCGAGTAACTATCGAACTTAAAGTTTCAGAACTGTCAGCCACAACTAACAGCTGATCCAACCGACACCTGAGGCCCCTCCGGCCCAAATCCTCAAGACTCCTTCGGCTAAGAAACACTGGCTAGCCCAAATAGTTTCTAGAGGTGCTTGGCACAAACCCAGGAGACTGTGAACATCCCGGAAGAGACTCAGCTTCGGCCATTAGGGCTTTAGGGCTTTGCGCCTATTTTCTTGATTTGTTCCATCCTTTCCTAGGCCACAACTCGCACAGTGTCAGAATCTCTGGCCCTCACAGCAGGGGACCTCATGCGCATCTCGGCTTGAGCGTGCAGGGTTTTGGCATACTTGCGCGTCACTTGCGGTTCAAGCCATTGAGGTCTGCAGGGTTCAGGCTTTGAGCATCCGCTAGCCCACATGCGTCACAAGAAAGCTGGTATTGTTGGCCTTGCTCCACTGTGTGCAGCGGCGGCGGGTGTCTCGCGGGTATAACTCCATACATAAGGCTTGTCCTCTTCACTGTGAGGAATTGTTCGTGATGTGCCTTGGCTGCCGTTGCACGAGGCTGCCTATCGTAGTCGAGCATGTATTGCCGTTTGCCAGAAACCGTCTTCATGAACTTCCGAGCCGGAAGACTTAAAAGTCCCACGTTCAGGTCAAGTCGGTGCACCCATAGGCCCGGTCTGCCTCAGTGCTGCCGTGCGCCAGAAGGGCGTACGTGATCTTTCCCGTGTTGATGTGCCATGGAATGCTCTAGCATCTGGTCTGCATGACTTGCATCTCTTCCCTCAGCATTGCATCTGTCTTGGAAGTTATGCGAATCAGATTGGCATTCGTCTCCTCGTGGCTCCAAACAGGGATTGGAACACCGCAGCCATACGGGCCAAAGCAGCACGGGAGTTATAGCCGCGCGAGAAACTCCAAGGAAATCATGGCTGCCCAGCAGCGGCCCGTCGACGCTTTCAAAGTCACGTGGTTACAGAGGGTAGGAAGGAAACATATCGCTTGCCTTGTCGATCTTAGGGCAGACATGTTGCTTGCCTTGAAACCACCTACAACCACATGTGCTCGCCCTTCGTCTGCTTGTGCTTCTTCTTCATGGGTTCGTCGTTTGCGCCCCGAAACCACGAGCCCTGAACCCCGCGAAAAAGAGTCGTACAAACCGCAGGACGGCCATGGTTGGTGAAAGTTTGGTCGGAAATCAAGCAGAAAAGGGCTTGGTTGTATTGTCTAGCATATCATATTTACTTCGAAAAAGTTCAATGTCGCATTGTTCTCGTAGGTGGACGTATAGTCATCGTTGCAGTCATGCGAAGCAGGCTCAGCAGAGTGTCATTGGTGCATGTGCTACTGGAGGGAAGATTGGCTAAACAACGCCTAGAATGTTCAAGCGTCTAGAACGGTTCTGTAGGGGTACTTCCAGGGTGCTATCGCGGCTCTGAGCGCTCTATCATTGCTGTAGAGGGGTTTTCAGGCCTGCCCAAGCCCCTAAAGCCTTGCATGGCTCCAGGCTTTAAACAGAATTTCTCGTGACCAAGGTCGTGGCGGCTGCCGCTGCCACTGCCGGTGCAACCGCCTTCGTCGCATCTCCCGGCCAGTCAGTTACCAGCCAGCCACTGGGCCCCACTTAATCGAAGGTTTACGGTTTTGGGATGTAGGGCTGTTTTGTTAAACTCTTAATGCAGAAGTCTGGACGATTCGTCAAAGTGCCTGCATCTACTCCCGATATGTGTATACAACAAACGATGGCAAAGCCCTATTCAAACTCCACCCCCCCTCGTTCGGATTTGATGAGCTTCTATCAGGGGCCGTCTCAGAGTATATCAGTACTTGGGGGTATGCCTCTCGAAGCGCGGGACCATCACTTCTTGCAGCTCCCGCGTGCAGGTGCCTGCTGTGAGTAAGCCACAGTCAACACAAACTGCAGACACTCAAGCCCTAGACCCTGAAATCCCATTCGTGACTTCTTCTTGAACCTTCTAGAGCCCCCCCATCACATAAAAGACCTTTATACAAAGCTATAACATCATATAATATCATGTCACATCATGCCATGACATTTCATATAGAATATAATGCCACAAAGTACATTACAATACAGTAACATACAATATATAATGTTATCAGCTATACTATAAAGAGAAAATCTTGTAGAATAACTATCGTTTTGTCTAATGTAGTGCCTGAAAGGGAAAGGTTTCATCGAAACCCTGGTATGGCTCAGGTCCACTGCCCCACGCGCAGGGATCGCTCCGGCCGTCACGGCCACCGCGACGAGTGCCCAGTCTTTCTCCGCCCCGTCTCACGCTCTCCCAGCCGCCCGGCGTTTTCAAAACTTGAAAGAGACAGTGGTTGCGTATGGAATTGAGGTAGTTTGCATTTGAGGAGAATTATAAAAAGCCTGCAACAGGGCCCCCGAGTTTAGGATTCTGACTTTGGGGTTGCGGTGAAGCGCTCGCACGTGAGCTTTGCATGGGCTTGTCGAGTCTTGGCCTGGTGGGCTGAGTTCTTTGGGGCCTCAACCGGGTTTGGATGACAGCACGCAATGATGTTGGTGGGAGTTTGTGTGGCCTTTTGGATGTTGTTTAGGGGTCACGAGACCATGGTTGAAAAATCAGACATGCTGATCGGTCGTCCTATTTTCTGAGTTCGGGCTATAGCTTGTTTGCTTCTGTTCCAGAGACCCTAGTGGAGCAGAGCCAGAAGCCGACAAAGTTTCTCTCTGGCTAGCAAGCAGCCAGGCTAATCCTACATACCTCTCTGCAACAGTAGTATCCGCCATGATTAAACCCTTTGCTGAACTCTCACATAAATTGCTGAAGCCCGAGCCTTATCGCGACACCCTACGCCCCAAGTCTCACATTCACCGACAGAAGCCGTGTCTTTCCTACATGTCTTCGAGCTCGTTGTCTTTCTTCTGATCCCAGGATCTTACCCTTCAGGACATGTTTATAAGCAATTAGAGCAGAAAATCTTCAAACTGGATACCTAGAGGCCCTTGCTGGAGCAGCGGTTTTGGCCGGCGGCCGACGGAGAATGCGCAAGAGGATGGCCGTGAGGTCTGCGGCCGCTGTTATGGAGAAGTACACCTCCATGTGCAAGGAGAGGGTAGGGCTTAGGGTAGGGTGTAGGGTTTCGAGGTTTAGAGTTCAGAGGATTCTTTCGAGGGTTGGGTTCTGTTTGTGTTTCTGTGCAGGGGTTCGAGGTGTTCGGTACACATGTGATTCTTTCCTGTGTGTTCGGGGGAGAGCAGGCTTCGGGTTGACCATACCTCATCTTGGAACAGTCTTGGTACGGAGGATATATATGTGGACATGACGTGCTTTTTCCCCCTTTCACCCTAGGCTAAACACCCAAACCACGCAACCACAGTCTCCTAGTCCTTGGTTGAGGCCTTCCTAAACCAACAAAAAGACCCTTCTACTGCGAAGCTTTTGAGCACTTTCGGGCTTTTTCCAGGGACATGTCTTTGCTCTGTCCGGGCTGGGCCCGGAACCCGAGCCCAACTGCCAAAGCCCCCACCCAAAGCCCCGTTAAGGCCCCTTGAGAAATTTCCCCCGATGCCTCCAAAAGCTCCAGAACTTCCATTCGTCAGAGAGACGCAAACCGAAACATTCTGAAGCCATTATGCAGTCCCTAGAAAAGCCGCATGCATGCCGCCAGGCTGCATGTTGCAACCTTCCGTAAACCCAAAAGCTTAAATCCCACACCCTCAGCCCCAAAACCGCCAGGACTCCGACCCACCAGAGTCGATGAGAAGGCGGTTTGAGGCTGTTGTGGCTCAGGCGCAGGAGGACATCTGCAAGGCAGGGTCAGAAGTGGATTTTCGCAACAGGCGCACACTGACACCTCCATGTTGGTCGCTGCTCAACAAACTCTGAGTTTGTCAACCACCGCTTTAAAGAGCCCTAAAGCCCCACGAACCCAAATCCCAAACCCGTCTAGTGAGCCTATCTCCTTCTCCCCAGCATTCCATGTCCAGGCCATCGAGGACTGCGATGGCGGAGCCAAGCTACTCGTCCTTTCCGAGAGACTTCAAAGTAAAGCCCTTAAGCCATAGCCTTAGCTGAGCAGGCACATGTTGGGTGTAGTTGCGCCCCGGCCAGGGCCCGGGCGGCCCCTCCTCGTCCCCCCCTCCCCCCGCGAGGGATGGACGGCTACTCGGTCCTCGTGGTCTGCCCTCCCCAGCCCTCTGTAGAACAGCTTGAGCTTCGGCTTCAGGGTTCAGCTTTGAAGAGGCTGGCGGGACGTGGCAGCGGTGGGGGATACCATTCGGGGCCGGTGGAGGGGCGGGGGGTCGAGAATGCACAGCGCACGCCCATAGATATATATATATATACAAATATAAATATATATATATATATACACACACAAATACACAAGATATGTAGAGAGAGAGAGAGAGAGATTTATTTGCTTATTTATATGCACTTAGAAGATAGACAGATAGATAGATAGATAGATAGAGAGACAGAGAGAGAGAGATAGAGAGAGAGAGAGAGAGAGAGAGGGAGAGAGAGAGAGAGAGGCAGACAGAGAGAGTGAGAGAGAGTCCTACACTGACTGATTATTTACCGTTGTATATAACTTTGTGGATTCGCCTTTCTTGCATCAGCGAAGGGAAATTGGAAACTTCTGTTCTTCTTTGACCCTGTAAACACCCGGGTCTGGGTCTAGGAGCTAGTTTTCTGTTTAGTGTTTAGGCTTCAGGGTGTCGCACCATCACGAAGGCTGGATTGGTCTTTGCAGAACCATGTCATGGACAACAAAAGAAGACCGAAGCCTCAGATTCGTGGGCTCAGTCAGAATCCTATAAGGCGTTAGCTTCTGCATTCTTGACAACGTTGTTTGCAACTGGTCGCAAACGCCATTACGTCATATGAGCTGCCTCATCTGTGCACAAAACAAAGTCCTGAGGTATGAACATGAAGCCTGACACGTCCTTCGAGCTTTCAAGTTCAGGATTTAGAATCTTTAGGCGTTGGGGGACCGTCGGCTTTGCTGTTATGGTTCTTGCGAAGCTGACCCCATCTACAGTCAAGATCCATTCGGGGGATGCTCGGCACGGAATCCCGCTTTGTACTCTTGAAGGCCATTTAAACAGAAAGTCCACCACCCTACACTTTCAATCGGATCTTCCCAGGTTCTGCAAGGAGCCATACACACGTGGGGACCGCGGCGGTGGCGGTATTGCTCGAGTGCTCCGCAATGGCAACGTCTTTGAGAAAGCCGGGGTCAACCTCAGCGTCGCTCGCCTGTGTGATGACTTTGATAGTTGATGCTACCGTGACTCATCGTGCCTGCTCTAGTTTAGACTTAGTTTGCTCGAAGGAAGTCAGAGTTGTCTTGCTGGGAGATGGTCACATGCCTGCCCGAGTCCGCCGACATCTCCAAACCCCGCGCTTGCAGCCACCAGTGAAAACCACTGGAGCGAGACTCACAATCGAAAGTCGGCAAAAGTAGGCTACTGGCCGACACGAGCCAGAAACGTGCAACCCTAGCGCGGGTGCTCGTCCCTCATCATCATTGTCATCATCATCATCATCATCATCATCTATGAGTAGTGATAATAAAGATGATAATATAAGTCGTACATATTATGACAGAAGTGGCTATGGCTCGGTTCAAACGACATACCAAGATGCGAAGAAGAAAGATAAAACAATAACCGTTAATGATGTTAAAAGATGGTTTGAGAAGAATGTTGAAAGGAAGAAACAACTGTCTGGCTACAATAGTTTCATTGCGCCTCACAGTTTCTATGAATTTGAGGTTGATTCGTTTTTCATTACGAAGAATGACTTACCTAATCAGAAGTTTAAAGTGGGGTTGATAATGATAGATGTATTTAGTAAGTTTATGGCCGTAGTGGCTATTAAAAGTAAAGACCCGCCAGATGTTTTAGCAGGGATTATGGAAGGGATACAGAAGATGGGAGGGAAACCGCAGAGGTTTTATTCAGACGAAGAAGGTAGTTTAGCCGGCAAGGTTGTTATTGAGTACTTGCAGAAGGAGAATATAGAAATGCATTTAACTCGGGGACGTCCTAATTTCGCTGAAAGGGGCATCAGGACATTTAAAGACAAATTATTCAAAAGAGTGGAGGCGGATGAGAGAAGAGGGAAGGAGAACATTCAATGGAATGATTACATATTTGAGATAGTACTAACATACAATAATAAAGACAAGCATTCTACGATAGGAATGACACCGAAGGAGGGAGCAATGAAAAAGAATGAACTAGAAGTGAAATCAAACATTGCGCTACAGTCAGCATCTAAAAGGAAGTATCCCGAACTTGATGTTGGGGATAAAGTCATGATATATAGGAAGAAAGATAAGTTGGATAAGGAGAGGGTGAGTGTATGGCTGCCTACAGTCCATACCATAAAAGATATCAAGAGTAGTATGGGACTTTTTAAGTAGAAGATAAGAGTGAGCCTTATGTAAGACACGAGCTGTTGAAAGTTTAAAACGCTAAAAACGCGTTGTAGAAAACTATTTAAAGAAATACGGCTTATATATAGTAATGACAGACTTTGAGACCAAAAAATGTTCCAAATGTTCCGTAATGAAAACTATTGATGAGTTTTACAAAAGTCAGTGTTTGAGGTGTTATAATTACCAGAAGAAATATAAAGAAGAACATAAAGAACAACAGAAAGCAAGAGATAAAGAGTACAGGGAAAACAACAAGGAATACATCAAGCAAAAGCAGAAGGAGAAAAACCCAGAACGGAGATTTTGCGAGTATTGTAAATGGGATGTTTTAAAACACACTTGGAGCAAACAGTGTAAATCACAGAACCACTTATTAAACATAAAAATGATTGAAGAAGGTTTAGACGAAAAATACTACAGACAAGCCAGAGATGAAGTTTTCAGAGGTGTTTGGAAAGGTTAAACAGTTTTTCTTAATGATATTATGAAATTCCAATATCATTAAGAAAACTCTACAAGGGGGCTCGCCCCGCTTTACTGGGATAAAATATTACTTAAAGTTATGTAATATTTTATCGGGATTGGTTGAGGTTGCGGGCTGAGGTTATGGAGTAGGATGATGGATAAGGTTATAGGGTGGTATGTAGGTGGTTGATTGAGTTTGTGCGGTGGGGTTCTGGGCTGGGGGATGGTGAGTTGGTCGGCTGGGGTGGTATCTTAAAATGGGGCTTGCCCATTGGCTAGCTCCCTAACCCCTACCACCCTACGCGCCCGAGACCCTTAGAGTAAGCCTTTGCATAGATATGGCTCCCCTGTGTGTGTTTGGGCAGAAAGGTTGTCTATGGCGAGATGCCCGAGTCAGCGCTGAACGCCGCAACCGAGAGAGGAGCTGACCGTGCCGGCCTGGCCCCTGGGTAATCGGTGCTTCGATAAACAGGGGCTCTAAAAGGGTCTTGGTTGGGGTTTCTGCTTCTGGGTGGGTTTTACGATCTTAGGTCTTAGGTTTTGGGACTGTGATCAGGGGTTCTACAGGGGATCTATTTTTTGGGAGGTTTAAGGGGTTCTTGGGTTGTATTTTTGCAGGTAGGGAGCTGTTGGCAGATGAAATGTGGTGATTGTTTAGGTTTGGGCGGGGGGTTGTCGGTTTAGAAAGGTTTCGAGTAGCGGGGTTTGGGTTTGGAAAGGATTCCGGGCTTCAAGGTTTCTTAGGCGTTTTCGACCCTGTCTTGGGTGCCCGGAGAATGTGCATCCAAAACCCGGAGGCCTAAGTCCTACACCTCAAGTCCTGCGGGAAAGGGTGTTTCTTGATCAACTTTTTAAATTTTTGGGGTGGCAAAAGTTCCAGAAGAAAGCACAAAGCTTGTGGGGCCACGAAGAAGAAAATCCTTGGCAGGTGGAAAGCTGAAGCCCGGCCAGAAGGTCCCCTTCTTCGCGTGCGGACT